GTGAAGATTGTCCAACAAGAGCCGCATGTGCGGATGAGAGTGCCACACGTACAAGAATGGGTACCGCACGTGCGGAAGTCCGCTGAGCCCGAAAATCTGTCTTTTTCTCACTTCTTGGGCTGAGTGTAACGAGTTGAATCAAATTGGATTTATACTTTAATCTCAGTTGAGGATTTATTTTAAATTATTAAACTCCATTTATTTTGAACCCAATTGATTGAATCGTGATCCGTTAGTAACCATGTAATATTATTGTTGTTTTATTATTATTATTTGATTACGATAAAAGAGTTGTGAATATTTATGGTGTGTACCATTAAACGAAATATATTTTGTGGTAAGAAAATATTATTTCTACTTTTGTCATTAAAGATGTTGAAATGTACTTTTAGTTGATATATATATAGGTGTATATGTATAGGTAGATATTTGTTTGAAGAAGAAGAAGAAGAAGAAGGAAGGAAAACAACAAAGCAACAGCCACGTGGGCCTTTTTCCCTCCTTTTCCATTGCATTACCTTCTCATTTTCTTTATTATTGAGCAATAGTGTGCTCTTCCTCATATCTCTCGGTTATCTCTCTCTCCCTCTGAAATTTTTTTTCTTTGGTTATTTTTATTATACAAAATCCTTGATTCATCAAAACCTGTTAGGTTTTAGATCCTAGTTCCATAGATCAAATTGTAGAGGGTTCCGAGGGTTCCGATTTAATTTGAATGAATCGAATTTTTGTTATCGAAAATTTTTATTTTCTTGAAAGCTCTTGGATCGAGGTAGGGATTTTTCCTACACTTCCTTATATACTTTTACTTGATTATATAGAGCTTAGAGTTGTATATAATTTAATTAGAATTTTTGGAAAATTTGTGATTTATTTGCTTAAAAGGGAAATTTTGAGAAAAATAAAGAGTTGATGCCCAAATTGCGAAAGTGTAAACTTGGAATATGTTTGTAAGGTTATAAAAGAGCTATGTTTTAAATTTGAACAAAAACAGACTTCGATTCGATCGGTTTCGACATTTTTACCAGTTTGCGACCAAAAGAGCATTTTTAAAGAAAACAAAGGAATTATGTTTAACTTTTGGGCTTTTGATCAAACTAGGATGTCATAGTTGAATAATGCTTGGAAAATGAGTTTGGAAAGAAAATGATATTTCTTGGGCATTAACGGTATTATTTTGCTTAATGCATCTGTTGGAATAAAACTGACACTGTTAGAAATGGACCTTGAGAGGTTACCGGACATGATTGTGATATGAAAACTAGTGTAGTTGTTCATATTTAATGAGATGTGGAATAGATTGTATTTATCAAAATTTTTGAAATTTAATTGTTTAAATATCTGTTTAAAAATATCTGTTTGGGCTATCGGTGGAGGAGAGCCATGATTGTTGTAGAAATGCATGAGACTTAGGTAAATTGAACCACATTTCCTCATTTGTTGCATTGGACATTACATTACATTCATTTCATTGGAAATGCATCTGTTTTTGAGAAATGTTTGGAAATGTATCTGTTTGCGAAAAGATGAATACTTGGTGAATCTGGGTAGGGGGAGTAGAACCGCGTGGTTAGGTGTTGAGCCTTCCAGTTTACTGGTAAAAATGACAGTGGTAGTGCATTAGGGCCTCCTTGTAGACACTCACCTAGAGATTCACAAAGCTTGTATTCATGTAACAGATATGGTTTAAAATGAAAATGGTTTTATATCTGTTGTTGCATCTCAGCATTGCATGGTTTATAAAAAGAGAGATAAACTATTTTATCATGAGCATGGCATAAGCATGCTCCTCTTTAGTCTTGTCATGGTCCATATGTTGTGTTGTATATCTCTAATGGGCTGTGGCTCACCCTATAAGGGAAACCATTTTAGGTACAGGTGATATGCCTCCGCTAAGGCATTGACTTGGGAGGACTCAGAGTTGAGGCTCCATTTTTGTTTTATTGTTATTTGTTGAATGTAAGCCCTGGGTTGTATTTGCGTTGAGTTGAAATTCCATTTTGTATAACCATGAATGTTCTTGGATAAATTTATAAGCTTGTAGGGCATTTATTATCTGTTTGACTTCCATTTTATACTTGTTATAAAATGTATGCTTGGGATTGGAACTGGGGCATTGAGATGTGAACATCATGTATTTAGCATTTGGGATTTAATGGAAATGGATATATGGAATAGTTAGCTATATATATGTGTTTGTCTATCAGGTGAGTTTTGTTGTATAAATAGATATACCCTGCCCAATTTTCGAGGCGTTACACTGAGTGTATTCCACTTTTTACACATCTCTCTCTCTCTCTCTCTCTCTCTAAAAATATATTTTCCTCTCCATTCTCTTTAAAAACCTCTACCAAACACCTTAAACTCTTGATTTCTTATCATCTATTGGAGTTTTGGTCCGACATCCTTCATTAAAGTTGGAGAACTTTTCGAGAGCTTCATTGTGTGCGGTGGAGATCAGGTTTCGACACCGTTGGATTTGGGGCTTTCATCTCTTTTTCCTTCAAGAACTTGAGGTAGGGATTTTCTTAGAGTTTTATATATATTTACAAGATTTTGTTGATTTCATGGAACTCTCTCTCTTGTGGTATGGAAAGTTGATTTTGATTCAAGAGTATTGATGAGTTTAAAAATGGGTTCACACTTATTTTCTAAAAGTTCTTGAGAGTTGAACTACATTATTAATGGAGGGTGTGTTGGAGAGATTCTTTCAAAAAAAATGGGGATTTTGTCTAGTTTGGTGAAAACCTAAAAATTTTGGAAATTCTTAGATAAGTATTAAAAACTTATAAAGTTTTGCTCCATGGGATGTTAAAATGAATGGATGATTGGAAATTTCTTACTTCTTGTTTATAATGAAAATTTCATGGAATGGGAAAAATGGTTGGAATTGAAACATGTTGTTCACAAAGTTATTATAGTCATGAAATGATAGAGTTGATGAACATGCATGAAATGTGGTTACGTTGTTGCTCCTTGATAGAGATTGGTGAGTATGGGTTTCTCTTGTGAATTTGCATTGGAAAGAGAAATGAAAATTGTGATCACAAATGGGAGAATTGGAAAAGAAAGAATATCATGATGCATTGATATATGTTGCATCGGTGTTTTAATTTATTTAGTTGCTAAATATTTTGATTTTGAGATTTGAAAACATTTGCATTGAGAAAGGAGTGTTGTGAAATAAGTTATCATTGAAATGTTTTGGGGTAAATATGTTGGTAAGTCCGGATAAGGGGTGTAGATGATATTGAGTAAGTTGGCCTAAGTATCCAGGATGAAAGACCGAAAACACGCGCAGAGGAGGTACCATGTGCCTTCAGGTTAGCTATCGATAAAGTGGCGGTTTGGTAATGCTAGTTGTGTCTACTTACAGACACCAACTTAGGGATCACATGAGTCGTATTTACCGCCCCTTTGAACTTGATTTAAAATTTTAGAATTTTGTTGAAATTTTAAGATTTCATTGTGCATAATGGTTTTTCAACGGATGAAGATGAGATTTTTTTTTTTTAAGGCATGGCATGTGCATTTCAATCTGTGAAACTTGTATAAAATGTATATACTCTGTTAAGATTTTCCTATTGGGCGTTATGCTCACCCTATGGGATTTTGGTGCAACTAGGGCGTGGATGTGTAGGTCGAGAGCACAAAGCTCTTGTTTTGTTGTGATTATATTTTTGCAAGCCAAGGGCTATACTTGTATGGGTTCGAGCAACCATTTTGTATAACCGGGCTTAAGCCTTGGAATTTGTAGCCCTTGAGGGCATTTATTTATTTTTGATTGAATGTTCTACAAGCTATAGATTCATGTGCTAGGAATCGTTGAATGTATATTCGCATGTGGAACCATTTTGTAAAAACCTCATGATCATGTAATGCAAGCATTGGGGATTAATTCCGGTTTATTGTGAGGAGCAGTGGTTGATGTACATTCATTATATATTAGTTTTGGGGAGTTACATTACCTAGTGAACAAATATCATACTAATCAATTCAAGCTTGATAAAATCTGTTTTAGCTTTGCCTAAATGTGTTTAACTAGTAATCTTTGCATGAAAAGACTATACTTGTAAAGTGAAGTCTTCTGCAAAACTAATGAAAGAAAATACTTGAGGATGAATCTATGCATTTGGATTTATCTTCTTTCACTCTATTGAACAACATCTACTGTGGAACCTATTTAGAGTATAAGACAAGGTCAACATTGCATGTCGCAGCCTTTTTGAAGTACATTTAAATGAGAAAAGATGAATGCTATAGAGATAAAACACAATGAAAAATTGAAAAATAGCATACTATTAATTGCTGTAGGTAGCCAAAGCAATACGTGGCATGTTGTTGAGTCATCCAATACCTTCATGATTAATCAGATCACAAGCACCTGAGAGAAGAGAAACGATAATTAATCTCCAAACAATTTGATGGGATATAATACACAAGGAAAAGAAGACATATGTAACAAGTTGCATTGGCTTGAAAATTAGATTTCTGGTTCCATATTGAAGAATGATATAAAAATGATATTGTGAACCAGATGCACAGATCAAGAGTACCTATAAAACTCCATTAGGAGATACTAGTCTACCCCAAACTTCATTAGGAGATACTAGTCTACCCAAAACTCCATTAATTGATCTATTCTCAACCCATCCATGGTTACAACTTAAAAAACTCAGAAGTGACATTTTCGTCAATTTTCATAAAATAAATTAAAAAGGTTTATAGCCATAATGCTTTAAGTAGCATAATTGTTTAAAGAGAATAATGTGCTTCGACATTATGGAATTTGAAACCAACAACAAAATGGACTTTTCCTCTTTCGAGTCACAAAAGATGAGGTTTCGATATCTTGAATATATGATTTTGGCAACAGAGATTGATTAAAACTTTGATTGATCACCTCTTCTGTATTTTTCTGGATGACACTAGTAATGAAAACCTAGTTGAATTATTTTACTCCTTAGAAATGCAAAAGAGACAAAAAATAGTTGAACTATCTAAAGCATTATTGATAGTTGCTGACCACATAGACAACTATATTTGAATTGGTGCTTCTTGCTCCTATCCTTAACATTGCCAATTACTTCCTAAGAATCCAAGTTCGACGAAAAGAACAAAATACAAAAACAAATGAGAATTTGTGAATGATTATGAACAAAATACCTGCTCATGATTGCATTTCAATTTTAGCTCCTCTACCTCCATGTATACTTTCCTTGTTCCAACAAGAGCGCTTCTGATCACTAGCAACTGAGTACCAACATCATTAATCGCCGTTCGATCTTTTGGCCATTCCTCTGAACAAGTAATTCCAACTTTAAGAATCAAGCACTCCTAAATTTTGTAACTATTAGTAGAGCTCTGATCTTTTGGTTTAAACAGTCTTGGATTGGCAATAATGCTTGCTGCTTGTTCGGGCAAAACAATCTTAACAAAGCTATGAAGACCCAAACTATCACAAAATATGTTATCTGTAGGTCTCTTCCCCATGAACATCTCCAATAAAAGGATGCCATAACTATATACATCACCAAATGTTGACTCCTTATTTCCCATGCCATATTCTGCAATTTATGCATTAATATGTTAGGGACTACGATTTGCTGATATTGGTACATCCACCTATAGATGGCACAAAATAATCACAAATTCAAGTAAACTACATGCCCTAACATGAGGAAAATAAAAAAAAATATTTAATAAAATAAAAAGTTATAGTTTTGAAAGTCATTCATCCATCCATCCATTGTACTGTATGTGAGAGAAATACACTGAAAACAATCAGTGAAATATTTATTATAGTGCATTGTGAGGAACAAAAGCAAAAAAAACCATTAACTCTATTTCATTGATTAAAATAGCAGATTCATGGTTGTGTGAATCAAAAATAGATTCTATAGTGCAATAAAGGCACAAAGGAAAACAAAGAACCTGAGAGGTATATTTACCAACAGCAGCATAACCGACAGATCCTCTTATGCCAACAGAACTTGATTGGTTTGCTGAACAGTCATAATTAGCTTCTGGAAGGAATCTTGCTAATCCAAAGTCACCTATGTGAGCAGGCATTTCATCGTCTAGAAAAACATTGCTCGGCTTGAGATCACAGTGAACGATTGGTTCTGAGCAATGATTGTGAAGATAATCATGTGCAGAAGCAATATTTAACCTCTGTACAAGGTCTAAATTCCTCGAGTATTTATGCACCTCATCTTCATTCTCATTTGCATGTAACCAATCCTTTAGGCTACCATTAGCCATAAACTCATAAACAAGAGCTTTGAAATTGTTACCATGATAGTCAACACTTGAACATGCTGTAAGAACCTTGAGAACATTTCGATGTTTTATGTGCCTCAAGGTCTCACAATTGATGAAGAAACTCTTGGAAGCTCCAAGGCATTGAAGGTTTAGTACTTCAATTGCTACAACATTTTCACCTTCACCAAGAACTCGTTTGTACATAAAACCAAAACTAGCCACACATACCAAATTGGATAAAGAAAACCCATCAATAACTTTAAGTAGACTTTGGTATGACAATTTAAAAAATGAGAGCTCTAAAGATTTGAAAGAATGTACTTTTTTAGTCTTTCTACACCAGCAAAGATATAAGAAACATATTATGAGGATTTTTAATTTCAAGCTTCAAGTAAAATTTCCCTTTTGGAGCCCCATGAAGTCGCAACTGTACAGCTATAATTCAAGTATACCCCCACAAAGCTTGTCGTTTCCCTTGATAGAAATAGATGTTACATTTTGAAATATGTCACTTTCTGGTACTGCACCCTCAAAATCATTGAATGGTAGATTTAATTTTTTTAGAAGGGAAAGTCCTCTAAATAGTTTGCGATTTTTCTAGAGAAATTATTGTGAGAAAGATTTAACTCCTCCATACCTCTCAAATTACTTAAATATGACGGAAGGATTCCCCAGAATTTATTGCTCTCTATATGTAGCAATCTCAATTTTAGGCAACTACCAAGAGTGCTTGGAATTTCACCAACCAACATCTTCTCGGAAACATCAAGTTCTTCTAGATTTTTTAAAATTCTAATTTCCATTGGAAGGGAACCTGTCAAATCATTACGAGATATGTATAGATACAATAATGATGAGAGACTGAGAACTTCACTAGGTATAAAACCACTAAGATTGTTTTCAATAAGTCTTACTTCCTGTAACATTTGGCATTTCCCCAGACTTGAAGGGATTCTACCACGAAGATTATTGTTGCATAACATAAGATTTGCCAACACAGTTAAATTTCCAAAAGACAATGGGATATCTTCGTAGATCATATTACCCGAGAGTTCCAATTTCTATAGCTTTTGAAGCTTTCCAATATCAGCAAGAATGTTACCTGTGAAATTGTTGTTTATGTTGGAACAATCTTCTGTGTAAATAAAATAAATTGAAACAAAACCAAACAAATAATAAATAACGTACCAAATTTATTTATCGAACCGAATTAAAAAAATAAAAGACCAAGTCGAGTGTGTGACACTTTGTCCTTAAGACAGATTCGCCCCGCTATGGTGCTTACGATTGGGTGGCGTCTATCTCCTAGGATACAATGATCTTCACAAATTTGTAGTAGCACTCCAAACAAATTTGTCCGGCGAACTAGAACCTTGTGTTCTATGCTCTCTTAGTTTATTCTAAAAACTAATATGAAGAACAATGCACAAAAGATAAAAGTTGGACAGCACAAAGGAATTAATTTCAGATTATTTTTTTTTCCATGCCAAGACTGCTGGAATTGATAGATATTTATAGGCAAACACCGTTGTCCGAACAGGTACTAAAATTTCAATGAATAGATGTGGTTTCAAATGAACAGATGCAAACAGGAACTGAACAAATATCTGCTGCAGTTGCTGACCATGTCTGGGCAGTTTTCAAATTTGAATCTGTCCGAAATTTAACCTGTTCGGTTTCAACAGATAAGCCCTGTTTGGACTGTTTTAATAGTTGTGGAATTTATCTGAAAGAGGCACAATATTATGAACAAAATTTTTGAATTTCAAATTCAAATTTTGAATTAAATTGTGAGAACCCGAATATTAAAAAAAGTAAATAATTAAATAGTAATAATAATAATTTTACAATTTCAAATATTTTGATGGTAAATCCTAAAGTGCAAATTAAATATTTTGGGGATCTTTAATTAATTTTTAAACTATATATAAATTTTTATGGAAGTCCACAATTTTTAGGACTATTGATAATAATCTTAATGATAGTAACGACAATAATAATAATAATAAACTAGTTAGTATGGGGTCATTTTGAAAATTTATTATAGGTGGATAAAACCCTAATGGTGAGATACCAATTCTTTTCTAAACCACACAACAGCAGCCACTTTAGGTTCTTAGTAGCCGTGAGTCATTGAGAGAGAGAGAGAGAGATGAAGAAGTTTGTGGCAAACAAGGAGAGAGAGGAATTCTGCGTAATCAATACTGTGTGGGTAAGTAAATTGTTTATTCTCACTTCTGTTATTATTTTTGATCTTCCATAGTTAAGTTCGTGAAACACATGGTTTAATCATTTAGGTATATATTAATTTATGGGCTGGTGTGAAGGAAAGTCTAGTGTATTAAACCTGGGTTCTGGGAAATAATGATGGAAGAACAGGTGTTGTGTGGTTGCATGAATTTCATTGTGGAAGCGATGTGGCTTTATCTTTTGTGTGTTGTGTTGTCAGGGCACTGGTGCTTCTGTTTGGTATTGTTACTAAAGGTCTAGATATAATGTTTAAGGTTCAAACATTCATGTATAAAGAATGGGTATTATTCAAGGAGAAAAAAATTCTATGCAGAATCATAGATTTTAAAAATCAATAAACCATATCAAACGAATGAATTTTGAACTGAAATTTTTACAGTAGATTAATTACATATTGAATTGCATATCTGATTTTTTTTAATAATTTTTGGGAATCAAAATCCATATAAACTGATGCATTCAAATCTGTCCAGAAAACTGGTTTTAAACAGTAAATTCGGGAGTGTTGTTCTCTTTGGGTATAAATCCAAAAATTATCAAATTAGCGTCATTAGAACCAGTTACGAGTCTAGTTTCTTACATTTTTGGCCTTGCATTGATTTCTCGTGTATATTAAGAGAACCAGCAATTTCTTTAAAGTGCTGCAGAAAACAACTTGTTTGGATATAATAAATTGTAGATAATTATTTTGACAAGCAAATCAAGTAAAACCAATTGGGTTTCTTTAAGTGCTGCAGAAAATAACTTGTTTAAAATTCTGTTTTATCTTAAAGTTACTTTTAATTAAGTTTTGATTTGAACCCATGTCTTGGATGATTTTAGACCTTGAAGAACATGAGCTTAAGTATTATTTAAAAGTAACGGTGAGTGGGGTTGAGCTGTGTTAGTGCGCTTTAGTGTGTGGTACTTAGGTTATTATTCTCTTTAGTATTTTTTAGATTAGTAGTGACGTGAAGTTTTCACACTTGGTTCAGGGTACTAGTTGGACTTTCATACTCTATTCAAGGATTATATTATTTTGTTTTCAGGTGAGTAGTTTCATTTTACATATTTTTATAAATGTACCCCTACCCTGAACTGTTGGAAAATTAAATTGTTATTTCAGGACTAAACTGTTTTGATAAATTATTATATTATCAATGGAATCAAATTATTTTTGAAACATGTGTGAACTTGGCATACTGCAAACTATTTGTTTTGGTCTCATGTTTATAATGATGAACTACCATGTTTTGCGAAACTGATGTGTATTGATTATTGGGACCATATGTGTATTTAGTCCAGGGAAATTATTCCACTATGTGTGGTGCCTCTGGCCACTCACAGATCCGGGTTGGGCCGTGATGACTCTAGCACTCAACGATTTTAAGGAAAAGACCTTAAAAAAAAAGCTAGGTGACCTTCAATCGGATCGTCTTTGAGAAAAGGCCCAGGTGCCACCCTGAGGATGACTCTTAGTTCGGTATTGGATCCAACGGGGCTTATAGCCTTGAGAACTGTGTGGCATATTATTTGTTTTTATTAGTACCTAGAAAATTATTGGTGTTCATGTTATAATTTGTTTTAAGTGGAAAATGTCGTTTATCATGTTCTTGCGAGACATAAGTATTTTAAGTGTTGAACTGTGGAACCTTCTTTTTGAAACAGATTATATTTACCAAACAGTATGCCAATCTATTTTCTGTGATATATATCTTATTTTGGAATTGAACCCTGTTTTCAAAACTGTGTTTACTATCCATGTTGCTACTCACTGAGCTATCAGCTGACAGTTGTTTACCATTTCCAGGTGTTAGAAGGACTTAGAATAGATGGACCTATTGCGTAGCTGGACTGATTCATGGACCTCTAGGACATACATTATTTTGTTTTAGATGTGTTAGCCAAGTTTTTATGCTTTTTTATTTAATTTTTATTAGAGTTCATTTAGGATTATTTTGATATGTGGGATGTTTATATCGCAATAAGTTGGATGGTATTGCATTACGGTTCTGTTTGACCTTTTATACTGTGCATTGTCAACTGGATGAGTTTGGTTATTTCATTACTGGGAATTAGTTTATAGTGATTCAAATGTGATATGAATTTGTTGTTTAGGCTTACTGGTGCCTGGCGTAAGGCCCTGTGAGGCCACGCCGGTCATCGCCTGGATCTGGGGTAGTGACAAGTTCATTTATTCCATGGTTCTTAGCAAGACATGATTATTTAACGTTTGAATTGTAAGAAACCTTCTTTTGAAACAGTATGTGATGTATTTACCAAACTGCTATGCCCAATCTAGTTTTGTGATATATATCTTATTTTGAATGATCACTGTTTCAAAACTGTACTTTACTTATCCATGTTGACTACTGGCTTCAGCTTGACTTAGTTTTATCCACTTCCAGTGTTAGACAGGACTTAGATGGAACTCATGGGCGTAGCTGAGACTAGATTGCATGGCCTCTAGGACATACATTTATTTTGTTTAGATTGTTATGTCAAGTCTTGTATGCTTTTTTATATTTTTATATTTTTATTTAGGTTCAGTTTTAGATTATTTGATAATTGGGATGTTATATCCCATAAGTTTGGATGGTATTATTACGGTGTTTGCCTTTGTTACTTGTGGCATTGTCCACTGGATTGAGCTTTGGTTATTGATAACTTGAAGACTGATTTTATAAGTATCCAATGTGAATGACATTTGTGTTTTAGGCTTACGGTGCTTGGGCTAAGGCCACTGTGGGCCACGGCCGGGTCATTGCTTGGATTCGGGTGTGCAAGTTGTCATTTCATGTTCTTGAAGACATGAAGTAAATTTAACTGTTGAACTGTAGAACACTTCCTTTTGTGAAACAGATATTGTATTTACCAACTGTATAGCCAATCTAGTTTTTTGATATATACTTATTTTGGAATTGTCACTGTTTTCCAACAACTGTTATTGACTATCCATTTGTTGCACTCGACGAGCCATCAGCACTTAAGTTTTATCACTTCCAGGTGTTAGCAAGGACTTAGGGTGACTCATGGGCCGTAGCTTCTGCAGACTGCGATTGCATTGGACCTCTAGGACATACATTTATTTGTATTTAAGATTGTTATGTCAAGTTTTTGCATACTTCTTTTATTTTTATTGTGCAGGTTCATTTTAGGATTAGTTGATAGTGGGCTGTTTATATTCCATAGCTTGTGTAGATACGGGTTGGTCTTTACTGTTATGACTGCTAGCATGTCACTGGATTTGACGTTTGGTTATTTATTAACTAGGACTATTTATAATAGTTATTCAATGATTAGGATCGTGTTTAGGCTTACGGTGCCTTGGTAAGCCGTGGGCCACGGCTGCGTCATTGCCCGGCATTTGGGATGTGACAATTGTGGTATCAGAGCTACTAGTTTTATTGAAGTTACATATCTGGCATTCATCATTTAGACAGGTCGAGTCCCTTATAGTCCTTAAAGTAGTGTTGTTTAAGTTTAGTTTTGGTTTAAGCTTATGGTTGAGCTTTATCCTAATTTCGTTTTGAAGGTAAGGAGATGCACCTAGAAAGAAGTGCCTCAATGCTCTGGAACCTGATCAATCCCACCGCCACTAATCGTAAGAGTCCCTCATGTTCCTATACCCCTACCGCACCATCTGTTGCCCAGTCGTCCTGAAAAGTACCAGGAGTTGTTCCTGCCTGCACCAGACTGGGCACAGGTTTTAAAGCCATTGGGGATTCATCCAACAATTCATGTAGCGCCCACACCAGCCAGTTCACCCCATTTAAGTTTGGATAGTGGTTCCTTATTTGAGAAGGTTTTA